CCCCAAAAATCCCCATAAATGGCCCCAAAATCCCTCCCCAAAATCCCCATAAATGACCCCAAAAATCCCCATCAATGGCCCCAAAATCCCCACCCACAAGTGTGGGCTGGTCATCGGCCGAGGTGAGGACCCCCGGGACCCCTCCCCAAATCCCTCAAGCCCAAATCCCTTCCCTTGAAATCTCAATGCCCTAAAATCCCTGCAAACAGGTTAAAAATCCCCCAAAATTTCTCCCCAAAATGCCCAGAAATGGCCCCAAAATCCTTCCCAAAACAGCCCCAAAATCCAACCCTAAAATCCCCCAAAATAACCCCAAAATCCCTCCCAAAAATCCCCACAAATGATCCCAAAATCCCTCCCCCAAATCCAACCCCAAATAACCCCAAAATCCCTCCCCAAATGGTCCCAAAATCCAACCCCAAACAACCCCAAAATCCCCATAAATGACCCCAAATTCCAACCCCAAATGGCCCCAAAATCCCTCCCCAAAATCCCCACAAATGACCCCAAAATCCCCGTAAATGGCCTCAGAATCCCTTCTGAAATGGCCCCAAAATCCCTTCTCAAAAAGCCCCAAAATCCCCCTGAACAAACCCAAAATCCCTCCCTAAAATTGCCATAAATGGCCCCAAAATCCAACCCCAAAATCCCCACAAATGGCCCCAAAATTCTTCCCCAAAATTCCCTTAAACGACCCCAGAAAGTTTCCCCAAACAGCCCCAAAATCCCCAGAAATGACCCCAAAATCCAACCAAAAATGGCCCCAAAATCCCCCTAAACAACCCCAAAATCCCTCCCCAAAATTGCCATAAATGGCCCCAAAATCCAGCCCCAAAATCCCCATAAATGGCCCCAAAATCCAACACTAAAATCCCCCTAAATAACCCCAAAATCCCCACAAACAACCCCAAAATCCAACCCCAAATGGCCTCAAAATCCCTCCCCAAAATCCCCATAAATGACCCCAAAATTCCTCCCAAAAATCCCCCTAAACAGTCCCAAAATCCAACCCCAAATGGTCCCAAAATTTCTCCCTAAATGGCCCCAAAATCCCTCCCCATAATCCCCACCCACAAGTGTGGGCTGGTCATCGGCCGAGGTGAGGACCCCCGGGACCCCTCCCCAAATCCCTCCAGCCCAAAATGCCCAGAAATGGCCCCAAAATCC